GGATGAAGTCTGCAATCCTTAGCCTCCCCAATCTCTCAGGGGAGTCCCCTGTCCTCAGGATGAAGTCTGCAATCCTTAGCTTTGTTTATAAAGCCACAGGAATTAGGCTTTTTTCTCTCAAGCACTAGAAGCCAATTTTAATAAGCCAGAGGACTCTGGAAGGATGAGTGTCCAAAGGAAAAAGGAAGCAGATGCTTAAACCCAGAGCCGAACAGCTTGGGTTTCCAGGCAACAGGAACTGTGTGAGGACCTTCTGCTAGGGCAGCTCAATTCTGGAGTCAAACACAGAGTATTTGCCAAGTTGGCCTAAGTTTCACCATGTGTTTTCCTCTGAGAAAGGAAAACACATTCTCCGAGGGTTCTACATAGTTAGCTACAGAGGAAGTGATGGCTCTCCTAAGGGAACTTGAGTCTTCATTACCAGGAGAAACAGAGATCGATGCTGGATGCAAACCCCACAGCCTTCAGAATCTCCTCTCTCCTGACTCTCTAGGCCTCCCCCCTCACTGGCCTTATTGTTTGGAATCCAAGCCACAGACACACTGGTCCCTCACAGTGTCTCCAACCCACCAGCCACTTTATCCCTCAGGGGGGTGACCTTGATTTTTCTTCTACCAGGAATTACCCTTCAACTTCCCCTCTTAAAAAATAAAATAAAATAAAATAAAATAAAATAAAATAAAACAGAAACAAAAAAATAAAACAAAAACCCAAACAAACAACAACAAAAACAAAGCCACCTGGACAGCTTCTCCTCACACTCATGCCCCACCTTCCAGGAAGCCTTTCTTCACACTTCCAGACCCCCGCTCCCAGACCTATACCTGCCCCCTTAATAGCATACCCTGTATCATGCTGTGCTGAGTTACTGCCATGGATCTCGGGGAGCCCGACAGCCTTTGGGGAATTGTTGCTGTGGTGATATCACCGAGTGCTGTATCTGAAGGCATGTTCATCTTTTCCTCTGCAGGGAACTCTGCTGGATACCGACGGGCCCCAGCGAACTCTCAACCAGAACCTAGAGCTGAGATTTCAGTACAGTGACGATAGTGACCAGCAGTGGTTTGTCATTTACACCAAACAGGTGAGTTCTCAGGATAGAGCATAGCTTGCGGGCTGATGGAACAGAGCACAGTACTTCACTCAGCTGGGGGAAGAGGGGCCCTTCACCGCCACTGGACTGAAATACTTCGCTTTTCCTTTTGCTTTATTTTCGTGGTCACCATGGTGACATTGAGAGACTTTAGTTAATCCAACAGCCAGCTCTGAGAAGAGAGAAAGTCATCTACAGGGAGGTTTATTGTAACTCTCAAGGCCAATGGCTTCAGACTGTGTTCACTTGGTTCCATCACCCGTGGCAAGGCAAAGCATCATGGTGGACCAAACTGTCTCGGGTCACAGTGCAGGAAGCAGACAATGGAAGGGGTGGGTCCGGGTGGTCCCTTGAAGGTCACACCCCATTGATCTACTTTGTCCTAGTTACCACCTACTTCTGTCTGAAGCCAGCCTGAGCCCAAACAGAAATAAAGGAAAGCAAGCCATGGGGTGGGATGTTTTTTCTGACCTGTGCTTAGACCACAGAGCTTTCATTAGCTTAGTAGGACCGCTGAGAGTGGGTGATTGACATCTCCAACCTTCCCTTGGCTTTACTCAAGAAGAGCAGTGTTTGCCTCTGAGCTGATGAGTAAGCTCCTCCCAGGAGGCTTTGCCTTTGTCCCACTCACAGCTCAGAGGAGTCTAAGAATCAGGGAGCTAGCCAGGGAAGAACAGAATTCATGACCGAGTTAGAGAGGGCATAAGTCATTGCCTGGAGCCAGACACTTAGACCCCAAACAAAACCAGAATCTCTCAGCAGAGAACATCAGATCGTAAGTGTCTAACTAAGCTGAAGAGAAACCCCCTAAAAGGAAAAGAAGCAAACCCCACATCTTAGCTATTTCAAGTTGGAGTCAAAACTCCAGGTGAAAAAAATTAAATTAAAAAATAATAAAGGGACACTCAGGAGGCAGAGGCAGATGGATCTCTGAGTTGAAGGACAGCCTTGTCTATAGAGTGAGTTCCAGGACAGCTAGAGTTACATAGAGAAACCCTGTCTTGAAAAAACAAAATGCTGTTGCTGCTTCTGCTGCTGCTGCTGCTGATGATGTTGATGATGATGATGGTGATGGTGGTGATGATGATGATGGTGATGATGGTGATGTTGATGATGATGATGATGTTGATGATGATGATGGTGATGATGGTGATGATGGTGATGTTGATGATGATGATGGTGATGATGGTCATGGTGATGGTGATGATGATGTTGATGATGATGATGTTGATGATGATGATGGTGATGATGGTGATGGTGATG